TCAGCCTTCCTGCTCCTCTGATGCTGCTTGGCCTGCTGTGTTCATCCAGCTCTACACCTTGTTATCTCAGATCCTCCAGCATCTGCAGTTCCTACTATCTCTATTTATATAGCTCGTCCAGTTAAGCTTTTGGTCAATGGTAACCAATGGATATTGACAGTGGGGGATTCAGCAAGGTAATACCATTGAATGCCAAGGAGAGAAGATTAGATTCTGTTTTATTGGAGATGTTTGTTGTCTGGCAGAGCCTTGTCTATGTCTTGCTGCATATTGACATGGCTGCTTTACCTCAACTACACTTTGATAGCATGTTCCACATGCTTACCATTATTTGGGTAATGAAGTTTCTCTCAAATTCTCGACTGGATTTATCAGTGACTATTTTATATCAATGACTTTCAGTTCTGGATTCACATATGTGGAAATATGTTCTCTATGCTACCTGATCAAACCCTTTCATTAATTTAAAGATCTGTGACAGGTCACCTCTCTTTTCTGGAGAAAAGAGCCCCAGCCTGTTCAGCCTTTCTTGATGAGCAGATCTCTGCAGTACTAATGTCTTCTAGTGACTCTTTTTGTACCTCCCCCAATGCATCGATGTGGTTTCTATATCATAGAGACCTAAACTCTTCTCAGTACTCCAAATGTGGTCTAATCAAGGTATAATTCAAAATTAAATACAGTGTCTTTGCTTTTTAATTGCATCCCTCCAGAAATAAACTCCAGTATTTAGTTTTAGGACCTTACTAATCTGCATAATTACTTTTATTAATTTTTAAGTCTGTACTCCTATGTCCCTTTTCCATTCAATCCCAACCAGGCATTTAATAATCAAGTCTGTATCTGCCTTCCATATTCTTCTTACCAAAATACACCATATTTATTAATTATTATTATGATATATATTGCAAGATGAGTAGCAGCAGAAATATAATACCACAAAAATAACATTTTAAAACATCTATAAGCGGATATAGCCTTGTTTTGAAAAAGTCATTTTTGAACTGGCTCTGACTGTCCATAGAGAATTTTAAGCTTTAGAATATAGTGCTTAGAAAAAAGTTGATGTTAAATGTATTACTGAATTCCATTTAACACAAAAGACATTATAGGTTTCTGGTCTACTAGGGACTCGAGACTGTTAAGAGAAATTGCTTCAGATCTGCTTTGGTAAACTCATGGGAAAGGAGTGAATAAAACTGAACTGTACTCCCAAAAACTGTAAAGCTTGCTTTAAATCTATTATGGCCTCCACAGTATTCATGATGACAGCACTTCAGAAATTTGGTCATCTGCTTCTCTTAGCAACCAGAAGTAAACATCATTCATCCTGGCAGATCTGATTTGAGCCTACACAGAACCTTCATCTCATTGATGTCAAGTCATTAAATTTGCATGGATTGTCTTTGATAATGAAGGGCATGGAACTAGCATTTTTTCTTATAAATACATCAAGGAAGTAATCAGTAAGTATATTAAATTTATCTTCAATTTCAGCCCCATAAGTACACTTCAAGGTTTTCATTTATTTGGAAACCTTCATTGACTGTTACATCAAAGGAGTAATTTGTTGCCATTATGATTAAGTCCACTGCAACGTCCTTCACCACACATTTCTATGCTTTCTGACCAACCTTTTAACAAATTTCTGAGGATTGCTATATTCATTGCATTGGCCCCCTTCACCTTTCCAGCTAATGCCTGCAATCTTGTAAAAATCAGCTTCTCGTTTCATTTTGAATAGTCAAGATTCATTTTAAGTTATGCTTGTTTAGTGTTTTCTTGCCAATCTTGCAATGTCGGTTAGGTCTTAGTTCTATTTGTTCTCCAATGCTGTACAATATTGAGCCTCTGAAAAGGATGTAAAGGGGAGCTGCAAGTTCAATTCCCAATTTTAAAGATCATTATTACTAAGAAAGACTCACTAGGTCTCTACACTTTGCAGCAACATATAAAGGTGATTTGAGGGAGTTTTATAAGATGAGAAGTAACCAGTGGTGTTCTGCAAGGATCAGTTCTGGGATCTCTTTTGTTTGTAATATATATAAATGATTTTGATGAAAATATACGTGGGCTGATTAGTAAATTTGCAGACGACATGAAAATTGGTGGAGTTGTGAATAGTGAGGAAAGTTGTCAAAGGATAAAGTAGGATATAGATCAGTTGGTAAGTTGTGCAGAGAAATGGCAGATGGAGTTTAATCAGGACAAGTGTGAGATGATGCATTTTGGGAGGTCAAATGCAAGACAAAAATATACAATAAATAGTAGGACCCTTTGATATACAGCAGGATCTTGGGATACAAGTCCACAGCTCTCTTAAAGTGGCAACACAAGTGGATCAGGTGGTGAAGAAGGCATACAAAATGCTTGTTTTCATCGGTCAGGGCACTGAGTATAGAAGTTGGCAAGTCATTTTGCAGGTATATAAAATCTTTAGCTAGGCCAGATTTCGTGTACTGTGTGCAGTTCCGGTCGCCACACTATGGGAAGGATGTGGCGGCTTTGGACAGGTTGCAAAGAGTTTTACCAGGATGTTACCTGGACTGGAGTGTATTAGCTATAACAAGACATTGGACAAACTTCGATTGTTTTCACTAGACTGTCAGAGGCTGAGGACCACCTGATATAAATATATTAAATTATGATTGGCATGGATAGGGTCGATAGTCGGGGTCTTTTTTCCCCAAGATGGAAATGCTTGAGGGAGTAAGTTTAAGATGAGAGGGGAAAAGTTTAAAGGAGATGTACAAGGAAGGCTTTTCATGATGAGGGTGGTAGGCGCCTGGAACGCACTGCCAGAGGACGTGGTAAACACAGATACCATAGCAATGTTTAAGAGGCATTTA